AAAAAAAAAAAAAAAAAAAAAAAAAAAAAAAAAAAACAAAAAAAAGGCGAACGAAAAGAGGCATCGGCTGTTGTTAGTTTTCATCCACGCGAAGTAAATAAAAAAATACGGGTGCCATCAGAACTCAGCCACACGGGAAGCCATCTGGTTTGTTCTGCTCCACCGCGTCTATCTATCTGGGTCCTCTTACCCTTTTCTTTTTGGGATACTACGTAGGCAGGGTACTTTGTAGGCATATTCTGAAACTTGATCGGCTCGATCACATTATTGAGAAGTGATCTGGCAGGGGTTTCGCTGCTACTGGCAGCTCTGGATGGCTGGCTACCTGGTCCGACCGAATTAGGACTGGTCGATAGACTTTCATCATATGCAGCATTGTAAATAGTTCCGTTTGTCACACTGGAAAAGTTGACTCCTCCAACTGTAGACTAGAGGATAGGGATTGATGTATCGTTCGTGTGGCTTCTCCCCTCCCCCCAAAAGGCCCTAAGAAGACAGGGGGCCTGAGGCCACGAATCCAGACATCAACGTAAATACTGATCTGCATCAGGGAATTGCTTGGTTCGCTTTGTTCGAATCAGAACCCAACAAGGTTTTGCTCGGGCGGGATACCCACGTGGGCGAAAGGAAGGTTTACTACAAGAAAACAAAGATAAGAGGGGCTTGTGAGGCTGCCAACCAGTACGTACTATGCCATAGATGGGCAATGATTGGTGGCTATGATCACCCGTGTAGGGGGGAAGGAGAAGAAGGAGAGGAAAGTTCAGATGGGGGGGGAATAAAGTATCAATCATTGACGGTGATAGCACGCTGGGTGAAGCCTAAACAGCAAAGCCCGAAACGCAGCAATGCATCAAGGGCCCAAAACCCAAGGCCGATGATGAGGTGATGGGTCGTCCGGGCTGGGTCGGGGGTGGGGAAAAGGTTGGAAGTCGGTGTTCGCCAGCGTAAAAATGGCGAGCAACTTGAGTCTGGTACTAGTGGCGGTCTAATCCCGATTTGGCAAGAGCCTGCCTGCAAGTGTTCGTTACGAGACTCTGTGACTGGCTGCCGTGACTTGGGGATTTTCCGGTCATGACTCAAGGATGATCGTTACTGCTTGAAGGCCGCCGCAGTCTCTCCAGTATGGAAGCCTGCTTGCTGAAGAAGGAAGGTGCTTGGTAACGTGACGGGCTTGGCGCTGCTGGCTTGCTGTTTGGTCTGCCTGGAGGTATCTTTGGGTGTACAGACCGAGCAAAAGCGTGTCTGCCACGTTTTTTTGCCTGCTCGCATCTGCCCCTGTTCCGTTTGACTGGAAAGGGACAAACGTGCTTTGACCTGATGTATTATGTATGTATGTACAGACCAGGTACACAACCTGTCAGCTCAGGCTCGGAAGATGATGCTCAAGTACTCAACTGAGCTTACCAGAATCATATCTCCTCGTCATATGATAAGAGATACGGTGGGAACTTCTGAGATGCACATTACTAATGGTCCCAAGGCAGATAAACCAATAATGTCGCATCACTTCGATTGCGGTGCAGCAAATACCACTTACTACTTAGTCGGTCCATGCTGATGATTATTGCCATTTACTTGTTTGCTTGCTCCAGAATTCTTCTGACAGCTCTCTATGCCTATATGATCTACCGCTCAGTCCTTCTTCCATACATATCGGGTATTATATCCACCAGTCAATCCGTTGCTGCGTGTCTGATGGGGAGGGGGGGGGAGATTCATTATACAGCGAACACAGCGCGATCTGGTTGAAACCCTCCCCAGGCGTAGATTTCGCTGATCATCCGACGCCAGCGGTTTTGGAAACCGGCCCACTTTGGACTTTGGAGGAAGTGGTTGAGACGGAGCAGAGTAATGTATCTCTGAAAACGATACAGTATGTGACAGGGATTACAATACGCAGGGATACGGACCGGGAGAGTAAGATGGCCCTGGTTAAGTTACCTTCACCGTTCGGGGATCTCCTTGCATCAAACCATGACAGGGAAGGGATGAATTCTGGCAGCAAGAAGGAGAATTAACTTATAACTCAATTCTACATATTGAATATGGCCCCCTTCTTCCTGTCAGACGCGGAGAAGGGGCCCCCAAACCCGCTTAAGAAATAATCAACGAGGAAGGAAGCGTGGCTAAGGAAGAGGCCTGCAGGTTCGGGGGCGGTCGCCTGTAGGAACCTTACCTTACCCAAGGTAGCCTTTCCGGAGGGCAATACCCGTACCATCCCATCCTATCCCACTCATCCCACCCTGCCGGACTCTGCAGGGAAGCCGACCTCTGATCGCCCCAAAGGACGATCCGTCCACCTTTGCCCTTGGCCCACGTTGTCTGGTGCATGAAACCGTCCGCGTGCACAGTGGGTCAAGAATGACAGGCCTGATTCTTCACGCCCCTGGAGACCCTCTTGAGCAGCCGCTGTTCACTTGGCTTTCTGCTCATCTTTCCCTCTTTTCCCTTCCCTTTCCTTCTCATTCTTTCCGCTGCCTCTGCTCCTCTCTCGCTCTCTCACACTCTCTCTCACCCTCTCTCTCTCTCTCTCGCTCACTCGCTGTAAGGGATCCATCCGGTAGCATCCACCCTGTACCAAAAATCCACTTCAGATCGTACTCCAACTTCTAAGAAGTCAAACAGTTTGTTAAGTCATTTACTGTTTGTACAAATACCTGACTAACACTCTACCCAAATTCCCCGCTTGCTCTTTTCGTCATTGAGTTTGATTTTATTCCATTTTCCATTTTCTTACAATTTTTTTTCCCTGAATTTTTTTTTTCTTCCCATTTTCTGCCGTTGCCCTTTTCCCAATTTTTCCTGGGTCTGTTTCCAAACCGACTTTGAATTTTGGGTCAAGACTTTCCTTCACTCAAAGTGGAATTTTACCTCGTGTTTTATTTCATTATTATTTTATTTCCCCTTCTCTGATTTCCCTTATCCATACATACACCCACCCCTCCACCTATCTTTTTTTTTTCCTTTTCTTTTTTTTTTTTTTTCTCCCTTGACCCTCTTTCACCCTTTTGGAAATATTTTTTTACCCAATTTTTTTTTGGCCCATACCCATACCCATACCCATACATACATACAAAGCCCCCCCTCTTCTCTTTTCTCCCACTCCGTCTTGGTTCGCACTATTCAATGCCAACCATATCCTCCGCTCATCTTGACCAAGACTCTCCTCCTTCCTCTCACCTTCTTTACTCTCAATCTCCCCCATCTGTTGATCCTATCCCGGTCTCTACCTCCCCGGTTGAAACTCGCCCTCGTACTGCTTCCGCTCCCTCCCTACAGCACAACTCCGCACCCTCCGCTGTTGTCGCCCCCTCTCAACCCGCCACTACTACTACCACCACCTCCACCACCACCAACAACACCCCAACCGGATTCACAGGCTCAGTAATTGGATCCATTTCACGTCGCAATCGCCGTTCATTCGCTGCGTTAGCTCGTGAAAAGACTTCCAACGCCCTTGCGAACCTTTCCTCCATAGGAGCGCCGAATTACCCCCTCCGCTCCTCTGCCTCATCGGGAAGCCTGTCGAAACATTCGCGCAAGGCCTCGCAGGTCAGCGTCAGCGAAGCGCCAGGTGCCACGCCGTTAACTCCGCCATTGTCGGACGGTAGCGCCAGTAGTGAACGGTCCAGTCCCGCGCCCTTCGACGCCGCTACTAGCCGTTCTTCCCCGGCCGTGGTTGAACAACAGACCAGTTCTGTTGAGAGGCGCCGTTACACCCTCCAGCGTGCCCCGTCCCCACTTGAGCAACTACCCGAAGTCGGACCTACCGTATCTCCCGCCAAGATGCATCAAACATCCTCGCGGTTATTGCGTATGACGGAGGATGACCGTCCATTCACAAAGGTAAGGTGACCCAATTGTGCGCTAAAGTGTCCGACAGGGCGAGAAGTAAAGAGGTGTCTGGGATTATACTCAAGGGCGGTAATTGTTAACACAAGTGGTCTCTTTATTAGGATTTCATGGACTTGTTCTCGACATTGATGGTCAGCTTGAAACTGGATTCGCATCGTGTGCGGTTTACGAAATATGACCACTCCTTTACCTCGGAAGAAGCCATCAACAATCTCGGCTCTCTCAAGTTCTCCCAGTCGAACCGTATGCCCGACCCTAAAGATCCTTCGCGTATCGTTACAACCACAACGACTACCACCTTTTCCATGGCCAAGGAAATGGCTCGTTCAGTATGCCAGCGTTTTGTCGATGCCCGCTTCATCGAGGCCGTGGATGGCAAATCGGCACAGATATTTCCGTTGAAGGGCGCCTTGTACCAGCTTACGCCGAAGGGAATCAATATTTTGCAAAGATTCTGCCAGAGGAACGGTATCACTGCCCGCCATGTGATTGACGTGCTGGAGTCGCCCCGCAACACGATGCAATTGGTCAACCTGGAGCGCGATACCGATACAGACAAGCTGTCACACGATCGAGCG